ATAAAGTAAAAAATAACACGTCCGTATGACCCCTAATAGGATTGAGAAAATGTTCAAAATGTTATTTTATAATATGATTCTCCAGGCTGGGCTGCTGTGATAAGAGAACGAATCCCCTAAATTGTTGCTCTTAGGTCAACGCTATAAAGATGTAATTGAATGCCTGTTTCACCAGATCAGCACCATTCTTGCGATTTTTCTGCTGATGCATAGCATTTTATATTTTCCTGGTTATATGTGACTTAATACAACCTCTAATGATATCTAACAGTCTTCATTCTTTATCAAAGTAGATCAGCTTATCTAGATTAGAAATTTTCTCGAATAGTAAAACAATTTGTAGTGTTATAGTGTGAAATAAAGAGAGCTAATATCTTTTGAATGTCGCATTTTCATGGCGGTGGGTTCAATTTTTTTTTAGGTCATGTGTAGGTTATGTATCAAAATAAACAATAGTTCGTTATAATTTCACTAAAATAAAATACAATATGAATGAATTGATGTTATAGATATGTATTTTTAGGGTTCCGAACCTCAAAAAGATAAAGAACCCATCATAATTTTGTTGTCATTACTTTTGTTTTTCTGTCCGTTTGCCCGTCCCGGGCCTTCAGTCTTCCGCCAAAATCTCAAGTTCTGCCCTGGTTGAAAAAAGTTGCCAATCCAGGCCTATTGCCATTCCGGGTCTTCGTCCGCCTTAGTCCGCCACTGTAACTACTGAACCACTTTTAATTAAATTTGTTGCACAAATAGAGTAGGACCTTAAGAAAGTATATGTGTCTTTTTTAGATTTATTATAACCGAACTATTCACGAGCGAGATAGAAGTATCTTAATATATATAACTCAAGGTGACTGACTGGCATAGTGGTCTATCAACGCACAGCCCAAACCATTGGTCGGATCGGGCTGAAATTTGGCATGCAGGTAGATGTTATGACGTAGGCATCCGCTAAGAAAGGATTTTGATTAATTCCACCCCTACGGGGATAAAATAGGGGATGCAACATTATTTCAGGTATTAAACACGACATAATGAATAAATATTCGTTAGAAATCCTGCTTAAAGTAACTTTACCACGCGGACGAAGTCGCCGGTAAAAGCTAGTTATAAATAAAATTATACAACTTGTCAATTATTCAAATTACATAGAATAACTACACTCTTCTTCAATCTTTACAATATGACGGGTTATTCCGACGCCTATTGCAAAACCAGGAAACATTTATCCAATCTGGGAACAGTGGGGTCTGTCTGACACGTAACACCATTATCTGACTTGTTTATGTTTACTAATAGTATAAAGGGAAAAGATTGGATTGTTTGTTTGTTTGCATTGAATAAGCTTCGAAATAAGTGAACTGATTTGAAAAAATCTTGAACTGAAAAGGTGGTCATGGGAATTTTGTATTTAAATATCCCAACCTTGTCGACGGTATCCTAATAAAAATTAGGTTTTTTTATTAGGATACCGTACCCAAAGGGTCAAGGTCTTCCGTCCTTCTGTCATCAGGTAGTATTTCATGAACTGTCATAGTTAGACAGTTTAAATTTTCACAGATTAATAACAAATAAAAAAATGTTTAAGGTGCTCCCATACATGTTTTTTGCTCAATATTGATAACGCATATTAATCACTTGTCGAAACTATATCTCTTATTTCTAATATTGTAATGGAATGTGACTTCATATCCTAATGAAGTCACATTTCAATAAAACTTCTCTGTGTGAAATAAAACAGGGAGAAAAAAGCAGCCCTCGCTGAGTTTCTTGCCGGTTCTTCTCAGTACAAGGTCTCCCGCCGTAGTTTTGCTAACCGACGGCGTAGTTTTCGACTTTCAAAGTGCTCTGTGAAAGCTTAAACTTAATAAACAATTTTGATTTTGATTTTGGTAAACGCTAAAAAACTTCACAGACTATTGAGATATATTATTTACTTTGAGAATAAGTAAACAATTTAATTAAAACAAAATTAATAAGATGGTACGGAACCCTTCGTGTGCGTGTCCACTCGCATTTGGCCGTTTTTGTATCTAAACTGGAAGTCTAGTCCAACAAGACCTTGTTCCTAAAAATATTTTTATTAATAATTATCTTCTAGAAGTATCCATATACATATATGATACTCGTAGTTCAAGTTCAGGTAGTAATGCGCTTAGAAACGTGTTCGTTCACGTCGCGTGATTTAAATGAAAAACTACTAATTTTAAAGCCATTATGAAATAAAAATGACTTCATTTACAGTGGAAACTATTATCTGTCCAACCTAGTTGTACACTTGCAACGTGATGTTACTGTTGTCTATTCTTATATTTATGTGTAGTGAAACAAATCACTAGAATAATATGTAAAGCGAAGACCGACTGTCGAAAAAAATACTAAATCTAAATAAATATACAGAGATAAATCATTTATTGCATCATTTGGTAAAGGTCTTAAAACCTAATCATGAGCCTCGTAGAGGCATTGCATTTACATAAACATTAAATTGGATGGATAGACCAAGATCCTAGGGCCACCCGACATTATTTATTTTCTGATGAAAATGTGTTGGTTGCAATGTTAGTGCGTACTCCGATCGTATGCGTTCATGCAAGGTGAGCTCGAAGGTCAATTGATATATGTAACTTATTTACTTGTCCAAACATAAACTTAAAAAACTTTAAAATCAGCCATCAGAATTTAAGTAATAGTACATTTTTATTATATTACTGCACGCGCACTACCTTTTAAATAAAACTACTGGACGATTTGATAAAGTCGGAAAGCTACATCATACGCTGCACCCTGGTAAAGTCGCTGGATATTTAGATTCAGATTCATCTATTTGTTCACCAGAAACTTGGTACAGTTTATTTGGATTTCAGAAAAAAATAAGATATTTCATAATAACAGCTATCATTAAATATAGTTACTCTATTCTAAAAATTAATGTATGAGATGAAATGAAATGTTCCCCAATTTTCAAATCTGAAAAAACAAACTAAAACCAGAAATTTAGAGAAATACATATTAAAAATTAACTGTAGATTTAATAGGTGTAGCGGAAATTAAAAACCAACTCGAACAATATAAGAAGAAAGGCATCTATCTGTATGAGCTGAACTTGTCAGCTGTTGTACGTATTCTACGTGCGGACTACGATCCGTTCATTAATCTGAAAAATACTGGTGCCATGTTCATTTTTTTTTTGTCAAAAGCATTACGTAATCTGTCAGAAAAATAAACTCCGAATAGCTCAATCGTATGTACACATGAATTGTACTTACACGATCTTTGGTTTTAGGCTTCTAAAGTTGTTGTGTCTTAATATTTTCGAAAATTAATTACTGCTTTCTTATGTATTAGGTTTACTAACTCACTAACTTCTTCAGTTTTGAATTAGGTTACCTTTAAAGTAATGGAAATTATTGTCTTTGATCCATTTTTGAAGTCATGAATTTATATCTGTTTTAATTTTTTACAAACTTGCGTATTATTACGATGTCATAAAATTTACATAAATAATAATGGTAATTGCATATTACTTCAACTACACCTACACTTCTAAACATCCTGAATGCATTACTGAATAATACCTATAAAAACAACAGTTTTATGATTAACAATCGTTTAAAAGATTCATAAACATAAACCCTGTTATAATCTGTCCGTCAAATGTTCTATTGTTTTGTTTTTGTGATTTGTTTCTGTTGTTCTCTCTAAAATCACTCAACTAATTTAAAAAAAAGCATATATTACACACTACGCTATTAACATTATCCCGACGAGACACTATCCTAAGTCAGTCCATGAAAACGGACTAGAAAAAAATGGACCTTCAATCTCCAATAATACAATCCCTACTGTAATACACGCAACACCTGGCGATGTGGAAGTAATGGATTATAATTTTTGGAAATAAAGTTTAGAGATCCAATCAAATCGCGGTACAAAATTATCTTTTAAACATGTTTTTTTAATTCATTCGATTCGACAAATCAGAATCGCGATCTCATGTTGAATACAATCAAATTTTGACTAAATGATCTTGAGATTATTTCGGAAATTCATAAAACTATGAAATAAAGCGTAATATGCATGCCCCTTAACAGTGTTATTACTCGTAATAAACAAGGTTTAAGTTAGAGTTAATTTACGCTGAGACTGAACTTAGTATTATTAAACAGACAATTAGCAAATGTTAATCTAGTACGAGGTTCTTGGGAGTAATAGTTACTCCTAGAAGTAGGTTTGCTTTTTCCCTGTATAATATGAATTTAGACTAATAATAAAATTGCAATTTTAGCGTAAATTTACTCTGACACTAAAATTTGTTTATTAATAACACTGTAAGAGTATAGTGCTAATATTATCTTAAATAGATTTATTACCTTTATGACAGTGAGAGAAACCTGCGAATTTTAATTTCATTGCTCCATAGTCCATAAATCTGAAATAACGACCTTTGTCGCGGTCGGGTGTCAAAGCGTTAAATGCAAAGATTAATAGCCTCACACACGACAGACAGACAGGGAACGTTCCAAATTTTCCATAACTCTTTTGTTACCGTTTCAACTTTCTGGGTTGAAATTGAAATGACAAAAAGTTATCAGGCACACTTTTTGCAGTTTAAGAGAAAATTTGCGATTTTCTTAAAGTTTAGATATTCTCGATGTCAATTTTTGTCTCTTTAGATAATGACACTTAAATTTGATAATTAGGCTTTTGTTGTAACAGTTATTAAAAGCGTTTCAGAAGCAAAATACCTGAGTCCTAATATATTGCCCTATGAGTGTCTGAGCCTCGTTTTAATTGTATTACTTGTGAAGTTTACAAGTAAATCATAACAAAATAAAGCTTTTGTATTATGTTATGGCTCAGTAACACTGGTGGAGGGGTTCGGCACATGAAGTGCGGGCGAACTCTGCGCGATTTTTTCGAAAAAGCGAGGAACAGAAATTCTTCTTCTTTTTAAAGTATCCAGATGATATGACTAATCGATATTCTTTTGTCCACAGCTAGGAGTAGCTCTTGGTTTCTTGCTACCGCCGATGCTAGTGCGTGCACAGGGAACAGTTGAAGAGATCGGTGAAGACTTTCGTCTTATGTTTTACCTTGTTGCCGGCTTCACCACTGTACTATTTGTACTCATATTACTATGTAAGTTCTTAGGGGTCTGAATATTTTCCACAGAATTCGATGAAAGATCTAATTGCTTAAAATGAAGGATGATATTTGTCTAAGATGACCATTAGGTAAATAGCATTTAACTTAATATAAAATCATAGGGACTATATTAAATCGACGGCCGCAAAAAATATACGGATATCTACAAAAACACGATTTTACAGGACAGTATTTAAATGATTTGAAATGTAATAACTTTTATAATAAACAAGTATTTTTTTTTTTTCAAATTTGGCGTACTTAATTAACAAAAAATTACCTACCAATAATATTAATACTAACCTAACCTACCGAATTTGCGTATTGAAAGCTATTGCATTATCAAATAGAAAGCTAGAAGTATACTAGAATATACTATATCACTTATATTTAGAAGCTTCATAATTAACCTTTCTGCAGTTTTCAAGGCTGAACCGCCAAGTCCACCGTCAGCAGCAGCGGATTTCGGATCCAGCCTCGACTCCAACTTCATGCAATCCCTCAAGAAACTTATGACCAACCGCAATTACGTTCTGCTCCTTATCTCCTACGGTATCAATGTCGGAGTTTTCTATGCTATATCTACACTGCTCAATCAATTAGTCCTCAATTATTACCCAGTAAGTATTTGATAGTCGTTACTTTTTTTTTATTTAAATGATGTATTGGTATATTGGTAGGCAGATAATTAATCATCTATACCTGATTCTCCAGATACATAATACTCGGTATCCGATTTATCAAAGCTCTCAAGCTAGTTGCTTAGACAACAATACTAATATCAAATGATTGATATCTGTTTATTAATAACCATAAGAAATATTTTATGGAAGAGACTTAAGACTTAAGTCATATATTTACTTAAGTACCTATTTATATAACTCACTTACATACACAAAATACATTTTTACCATAGATAAATGATTGAAAAAAACAGTAATTTATATCAATAGAGACAGTTATATGAAAGTGAACAAGTATTAGCCTTATTTACACTCGTTTCACAGGGAGCCAACGAAGACGCCGGTCGTATCGGACTAGTGATTGTAGTCGCTGGGATGGTTGGATCAGTGATATGCGGCATGGTTCTCGATAAGACTCATCGTTTCAAAGAGACAACACTAGCAGTGTACGCCGCCTCTGTGGTGGGCATGGTCATATTTACATTCACACTTGATTGTGGCATCATCGGAGTGGTGTATCTAAGTAGCATACTGCTTGGGTGAGTTTTTAATATAGTTTATATTTTTATCGATACTTTTAATTACTGCAGTCACCAGCACATTAGGTTATCGAAAACTGTAAATAATACAATTAATCATAATATATTATCATTATTGAGTAAAAGTTCAATTATAGATTTCTGATATTTTGTAATAATAATAATAATAATAATAAGATTTATTTCTCTCCACAAACTATTACACTTATAAAATACAATAAATCTTAAACCTAATTTTGGTTGTGGATCGCTGTTGCCTGTTTTAGGTAATTAAAACCTGTTTGCACAGGACACCAGGTCCCCACCTCTCAGTGGTAATTACAATTTACGACATAAAAGTTCAAAAATTATACATAAGAAATTAATTACAGACAAATCAAGAAATGTAGTTAAGAGGGCGCGTAAGCTATGGGTCAACCAACTTGATTGGTTTGAACAAAGAAAAAACTTCCAAACAAGCTGCAACCAAAAGTGGGCAAAGTGCGTTACATATGTTTGATTATTAGCTGGTTCAATATAAAGAATATGGATATATGTGAGGGTGTATGGATGTACGCATGTTTGTTACTATTTCACGCAAAAACTAGAGAAAGGACTTCGATGAAGTCTATAATGCCATAACCAGTATCGATCACACCAGGGCGACAAGTAGTGACTCAGTTTGTGCATAAGACTGTTTAAGAAGCCAATCTCTGGTAACCACTTTAAACGTGACCTGTAACCTGACGTTATGCTGAAACCTACAATTTTTTTGCCTAATGTATAGGTATAATTACTCTATTCTAGTTTATTGAAACACCAAATGATAAATTAATCGGCCAAATAGAATATTGTTAAATACAAGATACTACTCAAACCATGAAGATAAGTAAATAATATAATAAAAAAGCAATTCCATCGCATCGGCGACCATTACTCATACCTCATACGCAATGCAAAACGGAAAGGAATACTTAATAACATAGACGTTCCTTGTCATTTGGGAGGCACAATGAGGAGAAATCTCATTACAAGGGACTGAAGACAAAAATGAAATTTATACATCTCATCAAATCATAATCAAAAACGATTGTTTTAGCCATCGGATTTGACGGACTTAAAGGATCATTATAATTGCTACTTTACGAGTTTTTACGTAATTGAATTCAGTCAACTGATCGACAAATGGATCATTGTTCTTTTCCCGTCGTTCGGCTGGGAAAAATCTTAAAAGTAAATAATTTTGCACCTTCTAAGTTTATCCATTTTATTATTATACTGGCCGAAACTTTACATCTAAAGAGTCGTATTTGCTCGTGAGCTTACGAGGCAGTATTTTTTTTTTTGAGGGGCTATGTAGTTTGCCATGGAACTGTAGTCACTGCAATCCAAAATATATATATTCTGAGTCACCGTTAGAATTATATTAGCTCTTTTAGCCTGGTAGCTTCTAAAAAGTTTTTGATGTTCCTTGCTTTCAGAGATTTTATATCTTTTGAACTGATTATGTATCTTCCTATGTATGCTTCATTTGTAAATACTACACTGAATTTTCATGTCCGGCGGTCCGATTTTTTCAGGTCCGATATGTCAGGCCATATGTAGGTAATGCGCGCTTGTGCACTGTCAGGAATTTTACCGTCCGGAATTTTACTTTTCTCTATTCCGGACCGGTTTTTTCAGGTCCGTGATGGCGGCAATGAAAAACGTGTTTACGCTTGTGCACTGCTGTGACCGCGATCCGGAAAATTCATAAGGAATAGGCTTGGGAAAAAATAATTGATTTGAATCGATATTTATTTCGGCAATATTGTTAATTTCCAATAAACTTATAATCGATATTTATTGTTGATTATAAAATGCTATATTTTATATGATGATTTAATATATCACTGCATATGCTTTGGCAAACTCGGTATAGTTCTATTTTGATCAGCGTATGGTTCTAGTATCGATACTTAGTTAGATTTTAGAATCGTATTAAAAGTATCGATGGCTTAAGGTAAGATAAATAAGTGTTGTTACGCTTAGACGCATAAACAACTGAACCCATCTGAATGGAAATTAATATAGTAAATAGACTTAACTTTAAGAAAGGACAAAGGCTACATTTTAACCCGAAAAATTGTATATCAAATTTTAAAATATCATTATCAAATTTTTTTAGACAATTGATAAGTATAGATAAATATTTGACAACAGGAGTAATAATAAAAAATAAACAGAAGACTAACAAAAGTAATTAAGTGACACTCAATGTCTTTTTCGTATTTAATAAAATTTTATATGTATGTTTGTGTCATTAATAAATTTAAAAAAAAAAAGAAGTATTCTAAGGGAATAATATTTCTGCTCAAAGAAACTACACCACGCGTATAAAATTATGCCTATAAATAATACAGTCAACTGATCTCGTAAAGTTCATTTAGCTTAATAATTCTCCGCTGACACGGCACTAATTTCGATTTGTTTACGAAATGGCGCCACCGATTGGTCTATCTCTGTAATCGCTGAAAGTTGTTTTTACAAAACTTCAAAAAAAACTAGCACGTTTAAAAATTTAAACATCAAGTACTAGACCATTATCAGTAATTTTATTCTAATGTCACAGATATTTTTAGCTATTGTATGTGAATAATGCTGTTCCTAAATTAGTAAGGGTATAAGTTTTTACATCTGATAGTAGTCATCCGATAGTAGTAAAAAAAATGCTTTCGTCTTGCCATAATTTATTATGGTTTATGTAAAACGATCAGACCATTATTTAGGTACCTTTCTACGTCTTCGAACGGAATTACCGACGTTCCAAAAATCTCATCGTACCTAGCGTAAGTGACGTGTAGTTTCAAAGAGAGCTGCCCTACACTGCGCCGCTCCGATCAGGAAAAAAACGGACAAGTGCACAAGCTACTCATCCGAGTTTTTCATGTCATTCCGGACCGGAAAAAATCGGACCGCCGGACCTGAAAATTCAGTGTAACCCACATTGAAAACACTAAATGCTAAACTTAAAGAAGAAGGAATTTTAAACTATGGTCGAGAATATTTGAGTCAGTTACTGCATAAACTTGGTTTTAAATTTAAAAAATGTCAGTCAAAAAGAAATCTGCTTGTTGAGCAACTAAATATTATTTCTTGGAGATGGAGATATCTAAACGCGATAAAAAAACATCGACGAGACAAGAGATCTATTGTTTATCTTGATGAGACATACGTAAATGCGTCTTTAAATGTTCCATCGTGTTGGCAATCTGCAAAAGAACGTGGAGTGCTGTCACATATTGGCACAGGGCCGAGATTAATTATTGTACATGCAGGTGGCCAAGCTGGTTTTGTAGAAGGAGCTCTATTAATTTTTAAATCGAAAAGTAAAACCGGAGATTATCATATTGATATGAATTTTGTAAATTTTAATAAATGGACCAAAGAGAGATTATTGCCAAATTTACCTCCAAGATCTGTAATCGTTATGGATAACGCTGCCTATCACTCAGTGCAGGAAGATAAAAAGCCAACGATGACCAACACAAAGGCTAACATGCAGGCATGGCTGCAGATACATAATGTCGAATTTGATAATTCCTTAAGAAAATGTGACCTGCTTAAGCTGATTAAGCAGAATGGTTCTGAAAATGTTTATAAGATTGATGAATTGTTCAAAGCTACGGGTCACGAAGTATTAAGACTTCCCCCCTACCACCCAGACTTAAATCCTATTGAGTTGGTTTTGGGGATTTCAAAGGTCAACTGGCAAGAAACGAACTGGACAGTAATTTAGATAAAAAGAAGATTGCACTAGAGAAATTATTCAACGAATTTCCAGCAGAAAAATGGGCAGCATGTGACAGTCATGTCCAAAAAATTGAAGATGGGTATTGTAGTCACGATGGACTACTCGATAATGCTATGAACCAAATAATAGTCAATTTACAAGATGACTCTGATTCGTCCAACTGGACAGAAGAAGAAACAGAAGATGATTCAAGTGTCATGGACATCAGTGAAGAAGAAAACCTGTAAAATAAATATATACTTAATTCTGACTGATATAAATTCTTATAATAAGTGTAAAATATTGTTTATTTTTTTATTATGTCATCCCGTCCCATCCGTCAACCCGTGAACAAACACCAGAGATTGTTTTTTTTTACCTGATATTGGGAAGGCAATGGAACTGAGCCATACATCCTAATCTACTTACCATCTTACTAATATAAGACTACGCTAATGTCTTCGTATTCGTAAAGGGAAGCCGGTGATAATCGAACAACTTGAAATAATATCAAAGAAAAAATATATATTGCATAAATAATATAAATATTAAAATAAATAAATAAATATGTTCCAAAATAAGTAAATATGTTCCAAAAACATTTACATTTATTTTATATGTAAGTGAAATGACAAAGTTTATTATTTATTTTGCATCCGAGTAAGATATCTCGGGATTTATCTCGAAACAAGTCATTACGTGTGTACCGATACCCGCGCCCACCTACCTCTTACCCCGTGTTACAGTTTCTTCATGACCGGTTATCTGCCAGTTGGCTTCGAGTTTGCATCCGAAGTAACGTACCCTGAACCCGAGGGAACAACATCAGGAATCCTCAATGCTGGCGTTCAGGTGAGTCAAGAAATTATTAAGACATAATTATATATAACAGAAGATGCTATTTATAAAGTGCTTTTAAAAAAATACAAAAAATACTAGATAGCAAACCGTCTAAGTAAAGTCAGAATATGCAATTTATAATCTGGATAAATAAAAAGGCTTGGAATAAAATTAAAAAAATAAGTAAATAAATTTCTTAATGAGCGGAGATTGTTAGCAGCGAAAAGAATGATGATAAAAAATGTTGAAGATATCATAAACACCCGCAGAATATGTCAAACTTTCAGTATGCTTGCGTACTTCGAGGTGGAACTTAAATATCAAAGCGTCAAGATATACACATACGTACTCACTTTATTTCACAATAATTGACAGTGTCATCGTTCACCTGTGTACTTTGCTCGTATAACTGAGAAATATCCAACTCGAGTTTGGAGTAATATAGTAACGGAAAGTTTGAAAGAAGGCTTAAAAATTTCACCTTGTTGACATTTATGTATAAGGATAGAATTACATAAAATAACAAATTGAATTGGTAAGTGGGTGGTTGAATTTGAATTGGTGGGTTTTTAACGACTGCAGATATAGAGTTGACATTCAAGGCAAGGAGGATATAGCACTGAATAACAAATAGTTTGTCCATCCGATGACAATTTTTGTGACACTGGTTTAGTTTCGTCAATCTTACGCTCACATCTATAGTCAAGTAGAAGTGATTACTGGAACAAACGTAATAACTTAAACAAGTATTTTTAACAAATAAACAAGATTAGGGATGGTGACTAATTTTTGTTTGTTTGTCCGTCAGGTAGATTTTTGAAAAATGTTAAACACTTATTTTTTTAATTTTTTCGTAATCACTATATTACGGCGATGGATTGAGTTCCAATTTCGCTTGACGTCAAGCTTTAGTACATTTTCTATAAAACTGTAACCTAACGAACCCCCACTCTTCAACTTTAATGCCTGTTATCTAAGCTATTTCTTCTTAGATTGAAGTAAAACAAAAAAAAATCTTTTTTTTTTCTTTTTACCCAGTCGTTATCCCTATTTGAATGAAGGAAGCATTTCCAAAATTAGAATACTATTATTATTTACAGGTCTTACTTCATTAATTATACATTCACAATGCAATACTGATAAATATCTTTAACGCGGTAACGCGAGAATGACTGGAAGAAGACTGGAAAATTTTTAAGGTAATTTCTTAAAGATATTTAAAATGATTTGTCCTTGGGCGCAGATTTTCGGCATCGTGCTGACGCTCCTGTTCGAGTGGATGTTGGGTGAGGTGGGAGACAGATGGTCCAATCTGACTCTGTGCGCGCTGCTGGCGCTGGGCACAGCCATCACGGCGGCCATACGGTCCGACCTGCGCCGCCAGGCCGCACAGAATAAGGCTTAGGTGCTCAGGCCAAAGAATTATAAGTGATCTAATTTCTTTATTTCCTTCACAATATTCCATAGAGATTCTGTCATTTCGTCTTGTATGGTCTATCATAAAATATGAAAAGAGTTCGGTAGGTATACAAGGCTCAGATATGACAGTTCGGCCAATCGATAAAAAAACATTATTTATCTTTCTCATTTCTTATTTTGCTTTTTGAATAACTCACATAATAGAGCTGAGTTTTAATTGGACATTGATATTTTATTAGGTGTTAATACTTCAATACTTAATTAAAATATGATCTGCCTTGTCTTTGCTTATATCTGTAATATAATCGAGTAAAAGTAATGATTTAAAGAAAGTATTTTTAACCTTTATTATTTATAATCAAGTTATTTAGACTTCTGCTCGACTATAGATATGAGTATTGCTCTTTTAGAATGAGAAGGATACATATTACGTCACTTGGCACTAAAATATTACTATTACAGTAACTTAATTTGCTAACTTTTGAAATCTAACGTTAGACGAATTTATAATGAAGCAAAAGTAAAATATTTTATTTATTGACATTCACACTATTTTCAAGATAAAATTATACAACTAATTAATGGCAATTCAAATTTATTTTGAATATAATTTTGACTTTAACTTGAAAAAAAATTTTTCATTAAAATTTACTAATAATACTTATATTTGGCGTTTATCCATAAACATAATTTCAGTAGAGACAGTCAAAGCTTACTTTAAAATCACGTCTGGTTCAATGAATCGAATGATTGTTTTATTTTTAGCATTATTTATAATATAAATGTAGAATTATACCTTTACTTTTAATAAAACGTAGGCCTATTACGGGGATCTTTAACAACTGTTTAAATTGTAATCAAAAACTATAACTAGAACTCTTTGATTGTTATCCCACTTTTGATGGCTTATTGTGGATATGATCGCAGATGTTTGAAAATTAATATTGTCTATGATATGCATTCCAATTTTGTTTCTGACGTAACAAAAATTGATAGATCTATTGAAAAATTAATGAAAATTTTATAGTTTGTATTTAGCTTTTAGTTGATTTATATATTTTTTTTAACGCTACGTGTAAAGGAACGGCATTTACCATTTTTGGTCTACATATTTTGATGTTTCGCCATCTAGTGACATTTATTTATGTAAGGAGCGTCCTTTTCATAACATACTTCCTCATTACACCATTACACATCAGCAAGATAACTATAACAAAAACAAGCTTATCTGCAACGCGATAAGGGTTAAAATCGCTTGGTGAAAATTGATAGTTTTATTTATGTGCATTATTTGTACAGATGCCGCTCTTCTGATTGTCATAGATCAGTAATAAGCTTGCTGAATAATTATTATACCTACTCTTTATATAAGCCAAAAATTGTACGTGATCGTGGACGAAATTGTTTAGAGAAATTAATATCTTACATAAAGTTATTAACTATAATGTTACGATTAAAGTAAATTTCAACTTTACACAATATATTACTACGTATATTTGTAGATAAAGCTTAAATAATACTAAAGACAATAATTTGTTTGACCATTAATTAATGTCTTGCCAAATATTATGGTTGAGTACATTTGAAATTGTTGAGTAGAATATTTCTATTTACTCAGATGATAGACGTTAAAAATATTTTATATAGATATAAAAAAATGTGTTAGTGTAACTTGTGACCGGCATAATCTAACAGGCCACCTGTTGAAATGCCTAATATTTTGTGATTTATAACTTATCTACTTATTCTTATAATACCTTACAATGAAATATAAGTAAATATAATTTATTAATCTGTAGGCAGGGTAATTTATATGAATTTTGTTGCGGATAGAATAAATATAGTGGTAGGTATATGAAAATCTTAGCATTGTCATACATATTTTATTGTGTTAACTCATTGCTAATATGGGAAAACTTATAGAAAAGTTTTCTTATTAGAACTATTAAGTGTATGGTTATTGTGTCGTATTTATTTGTAGCGTAGCGTCTCATTTAAAATGTTGATTGTATGCACACGCGAATAGTCTTAAGATATTGCGTCAAAGTTAATTTAGTGTGAATCTAAATTTTCATATGAATTAGTTGGCAATTAAATGCAACAAAAATAAAACGAGAATTTCTCACGGTACCAGTGAATCCTTTTACGAATCCATGTGACTTATGGAATAAGATTTAATTAAAAATGAAAAGCTACATAAATGTTAATATATCTAAGCGTTTTGTTGCAGTCAAAACGTGAATTTATACAATTTTCTCTGTAGATAAAAACTACATTTGCTCTAAAACTTTTTTTTTTCAATTTCTTATCTTAATTATATTATTATTTTGTAAGAAAATTAATAAATAACTGATTCATTAAGGCTGTAATGTTGTGGTCAAGAATATAATGTGTTCTTACTATTGTATTATTATGGTATCCTTAGGTACCAAATTACGTTAATTGTAGTATAGTAAAGCAGAATTTTTATTGAAAATATTAATAAATTTAAACAATATTTTCAATGAAATGAACAAATGATTTCGTGAAAAAATAATTAAAATAAGAACTGATGCGTATATTCAGGAACAAATAAATATTAGATAACTTTATAATAATGGATAAATAATGGATAAATAAATAATAAATGGATAAATAAATAATTAGATAACTTTATAATTTAGATTAATCCATAATTTTTAGAGTTCCATACCCAAAGGATAAAACGGGAGCCCTATTACTAAGACTTCACCGTCTGTCAGTTTGTCTGTATGTCTGTTACCAAACTGTATATCATGAACCATGAAAGTTAGACAGTTGAAACTTCCATAGATGATGTATTTCTGTTGCCACTAAAACAACAAAAACAAACACTAAAACTCAGAATAAAATAAATATTTAAAAGGGCTCTTATACCACAAACGTGATTTTTTGCTCGTTTTCGGTTTTTTGATGCAACTATTCCAAGGCGAAAATTGTATAAATTCGTTTTGACCCTTAAGAACAAGAAATGGTTTTTCATTTTTTTACAGCTTCTTTTAACGCTGTTTCTTGCGACAAAATCGACAGAAAGTTAGTCATTTTCGGTTTTAGTCTTAATTGTTATAAATATTTCTTTTAAGTATTCAATGCAATTTGTGAGTGGATTTAGTACATTGTGATTTAGCAAAGGCTTGTGATTATGATAATCTGAACAGTAATAGTTAACAGCTAAGTTATACTTTATGTAACAAAGTAATAAACTGTATTACCTTTGAGTGAGCCTCGTTTTAATAAATAAATAAGATTTGTAACCAAATAACTGTATGAAAGTAGCTTATTTTTCCTATTTTTTATTTATTTACTGCAATTATTTAAGTATGTTAGAATTCTCTTATCTACACGTAGTACATAATCGCACCCCCGGTGCGACACTGTCACTTTTGCAAAAAATACAAAAATTAGTTAAATATGTAATAATTGTCCTAAAGCCACCTTTACTTGGTGCGATAATGTTACTTTTGAGGATGAATCATACGGAACTATGTTCAGTATGATTCATCTCATCCGTATCTTCTAAAGTCATTGTTTTGTGAGGTTACAGAGTTTAAAATTCTACTCCTGAAAAACTAAATTTTTGCATAAGTGACAGTGTCGCACCGGGAGTGCGACTAGATACAGTAAGACAAAAACCCGAGCTTCAAATGATGTTCCAGTATATTAAAACACAACTTTGTTGTTTTCCCAGTCAGTGTAAGATAACACAACCATCTAGACCAGGGTTTCTCAATATGGGATAAAGAAACCCTAAGGGTTTGCGACAAAATTGTACCTACAATCTCAAACTGCTAACCATCTATCCCTGGGAGTTATTAATGGTGCGCCAATGGCGTTTCATTAAAAGTTTTTTAACTAAAATAGCTTGAGGAAATCTGGCATATTGCTATTTCTTATAATATTTAGTGTCAGATGGATAATGCTGTGGGAAAATGCAATTTATTGAAACGCAATTGAAGTATACAACTTATGATTATAATTCGAACATATTTCAGTTAGGTACTTTTAGTACGAGAGAGCTTTAAAAACAATGGTGGTCTATTTTAGGTTCCACCACCTTATATTTACAGAAAATCATTTAACAATTACGTATCTATAATTCATATTTTACCATCTATAGTTATACTTTAAAATTCCCTGTCAAGCAGTATTAATATGTAGCTATTTATTTAATCTTAGTTTCTGTTTTAAATTATGTAAATATATAATTTTAAGATTGTTTAAGTATTTTTGTTAGTCGCATAAAAGGCAAAGTTCAATTCCAAGTGTTAATTATAATATTAATACTAGTGAAACTAGTTGATACCTACTGAAAGTTATTATTTTTTATTATAATATTCATAAGTAGGTACTTTAATATAAGCTGATGTATAGATTAGTCTTTGTGTAAATGTTTGTAGCTGTAAAAATAAATATTCTGATGTCGGTAGAATAAAATGTATTACACTCACTGTTGACCTTATAAAATATGTTTTTAATAAACGTACCAAAGCAGTAAAAAATAAAACAAAATGTTTACTTCAATGAATTCATTTATATTATTTAAACAATGTATAGGTACGACGGAAATACCTATGTCTTTTTTATAATGTTTTTAAATTTGAAATCCTTATAATCTTTTAAGCTGAGAGCTTTAGAGCTGAGCGAGCAAAGCGAGCGCGCCATATACAAGTTATTAAGAGTATACTTTGGAATATGATGTTTAAAATTATTATTCTGATTAGAGTAATTACGCTTATAAATTTATATATTATAGTGAGGAGATACAACAGTACCTATTATGATTTGTTATAGTCATAAAAAATGTATGTAAATGGATCAAGTATTGTAGCATTTATTGTTTTACTCTAATAATATCAACATTAAAATCTACTCAAACGAAGAAATCGCATAATCAAAATTATTGAATGTATGTATTTAATTTAAAAATTCATATATGTTATGTAGGTATTTTTTCAATTATATAATGTA